CTTGTACTTCTCGATCGATCCGTCCGCTTTGCGCTTGATCTTGAACACCCACTTGGTACCAATGGCGCGTTGTCCGTTCGGCAACTTAGCAGCACGGAACACTCCTCGAAGTCGCATCGACTTGAGCTCAGCACGAATTGCTTTGCGCCAGTGCACTTGGTCGGGGCCGTTTACCACCTCTTGGAAAGTCGCCGGCTCCGATAAGTCCACCGCAGCTTCGACTGCGTTGACACTTGCACGCCAAAACACAGGGAGAGTCGATTCTTCATCTTGATCTCCAGCTATTTCTTCTTCGTTTACGTCTGCTCGACGCGAAGACGAATTGGTCGGCGCACTTGCTTCTTCCAGTCCAGGTCGATGTCGCGTAGCTCGCGGTCTTGTGGCAGATTCATCTTCGTCACTCGGGCGCCTCTTGCGCTTCCCCGCCTGCCTGTGCTCCGTCTGGCGCGAACCGTCATTGTCGATGTCGAGAGAGTCGAAGTCCAGGTCGTCGACGTCTTCATCGGCTGGCTCTGAAAGTCCAAAGGTCGATTCATCGAAGTTGACATCGCGACTGATAACCACCTGCCCCGCCTCGATGTCATAAATTTGATACGCCTTGGATACTTCTTCGTAGCCCAGGAACAATCCGGCGCGAGCCTTCAGATCCCACTTGAGCCGTTTCTCCTTCGGAGTGAAGATGAAAGCTCGACAGCCGAAGACGCGCATGTGTTTCACACTCGGCGCGGACTTGTACACAATATCGAACGGAGTCTTGCACTCGATCTTTGGTGACGGCAGGCGGTTTTTCACGTAGATGGCCGTCATCACCGCTTCACCTCAGAAGCACTTGTCCAGCCTGGCATGATGCAGCATGCTGCGGTCGATCGTGACGATGGTGCGGATGGCTTGCTCTGCAGTGCCATTAGGTTGGTGCACGTACGGAACCGTGGTTTGTTGCTCGATGCCTTCGTCTTCGTAGAAATCTTTAAGCGAGTTGGTCGCAAACTCACGAGCTTCGTCGTGTCGCACGAGCTTGACCTTCTAGTTAAACTTCTTTTGCACTTTCGTGATGTACGTCTTGATTCAGGCTTCGCTTTCTGATCTGGCACGCAGACAGAAGCCCTTCATGCATCCGCTGGCTTCGTCCACGATCAGTAGCAAATTCTTGCTGCCACCAAGCGAGGCTTTCTCCATGGGTCCGCAAATGTCGAAGTGAAGCAACTCGAAGGTGTCGTAACGACGCATGTCACGGTTGCTAGGGAATGGTTTTTTGGACCATCTTGCCTTGCTGGCAGCCGCGACACAGACTTGGTCCGCTAGGCTTGGAAGGTGCTTTCGCGTCCTTGATCATTTTGTTGTCGACCAACTTGCGAAGCACCTCGACTGGAGCGTGACCCATACGCGCATGCAGGTCGACCGTCCTTCCAGTTGTCGCCGCACTTGCTGGCGTGTGAAGCCAGTAGAGTCCATCTTCGAGATCCGTCCATGCCACATCTTGATTCGAGTCCTTGCGTGAGATGTGCATCTCGGTGCCATCGAACACCACTTGGAACTTTCCGTTCTTGTTGATCTGCGGTACTGAAAGCAGATTCTTGCTCATGTTCAACGGATAGAGCGCGTTCTTGATCTCGATCTCGCGCTCGGCGCCGTTGGGCAGGCCCACTCTCTCCACGATGGTTCCCACACCCTTGATTGCCGCCTTGTTCCCGTCGGCCACCGAAAGTTCGCCTTCATTGCGCTCGATCAGACTGGCGAGCTTGGACTTGTCGTTACAGATGTGGTGCGTGGCACCACTGTCGACCGCCTACATTCCAGACACATTCGTGTTTGTCGAAACGCCACATTCCAGGGAAACCGCGAACGCTACTCGATCGTAGTCGTCGTCGTCGTCGCCATAGTTTCGCCACTGGATGTTGTTAGCTCCGCGTTCACGGCCGTTGCCGCCGCGTCGAGCACCTCGACCCTCATCCTTCTGCTTGGTCCAGCACTTGTCAATCATGTTCCCCAATTCCCCGCAGTACGTGCATTGGCGAGACTCTCGGTCGGTGTTGAACACCTTGTCCGTGTTTTCAGTCTTCACGGTCGCCGTCTTCTCACCTTGTCGCTTGATGTGCTCGTTTGTGAGCACTTCACAACGTCTTGCGACCGCAGCTCTGCGCTGCTCATCTCCAGATTGAGCACGACGTTCTCGTAGCTCTTGGGGAAACTTCGCAGTAAGCAGATCGTCACGTCCTCGTCCTCCATCTTGGTGCCGATGCTGCTGAGCTTGGCGCTGATGTTGAGGACCTCGTTGCCATGATGCAAGACATTGCCGCCTTTCGACATCTCCATGCTGAAGAGTTGGCGCTTCAGGTAGATGCGACCAGCCTTCTGCGACCCACCATACAACGTCTTCAAGCGCGCCCACGCTTCCTCGCAGTCACCAACCACGTGATGGTAGTCCGCATTAATGTGGAGCAACATCAGTCCGAACGCAATGTTGCTCGCCTTGACGTAGTCGTCCTTGGTCCGGATGTCCGTGAAGCTCGGAGTCGTTTCCTGGTTCACTACGTGCCATACCGACTTGGTCAGAAGCACGCCACGCATGTAGCGGCTCCACGTCGCGTAGTTGCACCGTTGAACTTGTCGATGGTGACCTTGGTCGAGGCGCCATGGGCAGAGGACATGGTGCTTGGGCTCATAACCTGTAGGCGGTGTAGAGGTGTTGGAACGAAGCTTGGGGCTGAACGGAGTGACTTCTGCACTTGGTGCGGAGACCAGAGTGAAGGGACTTGAGCGGAAGAAGGAAGATTCGAAAGTGATTGATTTATCGGGGCTTACACTGTCCTCACTACCTAGGTCATCCAATCATTCTGGACTCGTCCAATCATCCTACCCGTCCAATCAGGGGTGGCATAAACAACGTACCATAATCACAGCGGGATCGTATTGGACCGGTTCAGGTTGACCGGTTAATGGGTACAACTGGTACACAGTACCAAGACCAGCAACCCTCAATATTTTATTTCATTGGATGCATATTTGAAGCTGACTTCAAGTTGACAAAATTTTACTTAACGTTGACATAAATTTTACCTTAAAGATGCAATGTAATAGTTGGCTCGCGCAGGTAGGATTAAGTGCGAAATAGAGCTATGGCTTTCGTGGCAGTAGTAGCATTCCCTGCGCTGTTTGTGCTAATTTCTGGTGCTCACTATCCCGAAGAAGCTTGTTCGCGAGAGCTTGGAAGGACGCGTATCTGCTGCTTCCTTCTCCTATTTATTGGACTTGCACTTTGGTTTTCTGACGCGACGATGAAGAGGTTTGCGGACGCTCTGACGTGTGCTGGCGCTGAAATTGCTGCTCGAGCTTGTTGAGCCGGTGATGCCGGTTGTTGAAAGTCTGCAACAACTGGCTGACGGTGCCGTGCAGTCGATCAACGGATCCACGAGGCTCGCGATTCTCCTGCAGGATGCTCTGCATCTGCATGAGTTGAGCTTAGTTGATCTCGACTTGGGTGGTGTCTGTGACCGGCACTTCAACTGACTGTACAGCGAGGTGGACCTGCTCCAGCTCGCTGATCTTTTTAAAAAAGTAGCTCTGTAAGCTGGAACTTTGGTCCACTTCTCGCTTGAGCTCTTAATTAAAGTGGGCGCGTGAATCCTTCAACACCTGCTCGGCCTTGGCTCTGAAGCCGAAGAGCTCGTCCTTGTGCACCTCCAAGCAGCCATCCATAGTTATCTTGAACAGCTCCACATTCTCGGCGCATATCAGCTCGAAAATAAGCTAATTATCCTTGATCGCTTCACACACGCCGTCTCTACTTTATCTGACGGAGAAAGCTGCTGATTCGAGACGACCAATTCGCACTTCGAGCAGCTGGTTTTCGTCGTGCTATCCGCGATATGTGGGACGTTAGTACTGTAGCGGATGTGACCAAGGAACAAAGCGAATAGATAGTCTGCTTGATTTGCACTTATATCAATTCACACCTTTATTCTTTGTGGACTCTGTTACCCTTAAAAAATATTCTTTATGCAGTGATTGACACTGAGTTTTTGAATCGTAACAACGTATAACGGTCTGTTGGCTTAGCTACGTATTACTTTTTTATTTGAGCTTTGAAACTAAGTATTGGCAGAGTAGCAGCGATTTATGTAACATCATTCCACCATATCAATTCAATAAATATGGATAAATTTGGATACGGTGTCATAATTTAGCTCTAAAAATAGAACAAAGCTATCGGCTGTTACATCATTCCGATGCGTCACTTATAAAAAAATATTCTGACAAGATGCCCAGTCAAGAACACTATTATTGACTCGTCATCTTGTCGAGAATAATCACCTCATATCATGAAGGTGATGTATCGTCCGCTAGATAAGAAATGTAGGCCCAGCCTCTGCCTCACATAGTGCACCCTTAAGCAGCAACTACACTTCCAGATTTGCCGGCAATGCCACGTAAAATCAAACGAAACACGTAATTCCACGCACTTGCTAACGCCAAACGACAGAATAAGATAAAAAGCAATTCTACCTGATAACCTGGAGCAAAGTTTTATGGAACTGGAGAAGGAAGCAGCTGAATTGCCCTGGCGCCGGTCTTTCTTGAAGGCTCTCCAGGATAACACGGACTCAGAAGATGAAACTTCAGAATTCGAAGATGGCCCCGACCTATACGTTGCAGATAGAATATACGCTAAGAGAACTAGTCAAAGACGGGCAAGACTACTATTTAGTTTCTTGTGAGGGGTTTCAAGAATTAACCTGGCAGCCGTCGTCAGACCTACCACAGAACATGATAACGACGTTTAATAATGAGGAGCTTGGTGTGGCTTTGCCAGTTGACTATCGGACCAGCATACGCACGGGGATCATGGCTGGTGCAAGAGTACGCGGTAGGGCAAGACGTAGCTAGATATTGGTCCAATATATTTAAATTACATCAATTTTTATTATTGTAAGTGCTCATATTGGAATTTTTATTACGGCAAATCTTTGCCACCAATACAATACAGAATTGTATTTTCCGATCTATGTGCCAGGCACATCATAGATCACCTTCACCTTCGCTTTGCTCGTGAACGGCACCACAATTGACGCCTCAGCACTCGATAGTGCCAAACCGACATGAGCAGCTTTCAATGCTCCACAACCATTGGTACCATCGCCACACATACCGACGATTAACCTTATTTCAATGAGTTGATCCACAAACCATGTCTTCTGTTGTGGACGAATTCGAGCAAAGATCGGTGTCTGCTTAATGATCCGCTGTATTGTGTCACCTCCACATTTGCTCCAAAGTTTCTCTAACGCTGCACCAGTGATGGCGAGGTCGCATTCCTCCATTATTTGATTCATCGTGCGACTATTAAAGTTTTCCCATTGTGCAGACTCCGATAGCTTGATAGTATCGGATAAAATGTACACTGTGTTTCTTGTTGATGGATCCACGTATACCACCGCGATTTTTGGTTTCAACGGCATCTCCAACTCGCGACAAACATGGACCGCTGTCAGTGCGTTGTCGCCTGTACTGATACAAACGTCTATCTTTGCATTTTGAAGCTCATCCAGCAAGCTTTTCGTCTCCGGTTTCAGCTCGTTTCGAAGATTGCAGTCCTTGAAACTTGACAGCGCATTTAACGTCATCACGAATAATCCTGTCAATTGAAGTCGTGCTAAAGCTTAGCTTTTTCATTCCAAATCCGATGCAGTAGAAGCCATCAACTGAATAGGTATGCACTCTTTGAAAAAGATTTTTTGGGATAGATGTCGAAATCGCACAAATTGCTTCAGGCGAGCCCTTTACTACTACAAAGCGTTGCTTGGTTTCCAGCCCTTCCACAATTGCGCTGGAACGCTGGTGTGCAGCGTCGAAGGCAAACCGCTTCAAAATTCCATAATTATTGGACGCATCCTCAGCTGCCGGCTTCCTCCACTTTTTACTGACAGTCATGTTTGGCTACATTTTTATGGGTGAAAGTAAGGAGGGCCATTCCGCGGAGGGCCATGGGACAGACTGTGCGCAGAGACGACACAAAAAAAATCTTGTAGCAGCAGTTTTTCATATAATAAAATCGAGTTATTACAAGCCGTGTCCGTCTCTAAGCGCCGTGTCCGTTGCCATATTTCAGTATACAAAATCTAATACTAATTTGGCCGTGTCCGTCCCACAGAGGCGTGTCCGTCCCAGAGACGCGAGATATTTGGGTCTGTGTCTCACTTTCAAGATGGCGCCCAAGCCCAAACTTGCGCTTCCCGCCTGCGGCTACATAGTCGTCTATCTGGGCCTTTCAGACGAGACTCTTACAGCTCTGAAAACCGAGGCAATGGCTCGAGAGTACACACCCGTGTTTGAGATGGTGGGAGGGAAATGCCACGATGCATACCGCAAGCAATCGCGTGTGAAGAGAGCTTCCGGTGCAGTTAGCGACCTCAAGACTGCTTTGACTTCGGTCACATCTTGTCTGGATCAGGGGTGGATGCCAACGATTTTTTCGTTTATGCATTCAGCCCCAGGGGGGAATGAACAAGAGAGTCATTAGGATTATCCAGCTCGAGTAATTGATGAAGCAAAAAAAAGAAGAAGTTTCCAGCAAGCATGCTTTTTGCTATTGACGAAGGTACAAAGCTTCGCGTTTACGACGGATGTACCGAGACAAAAGACGACGGGGCTTCCCGTGTTCTTACGATTCCTGTCGGCTTTTGTGTTATATTCCGTGGCGATTTAATTCACAACGGAATGCCGTACAGCACCGCGAATTATCGCATTCATTGCTACCTTACCTACAAGTGGCTCAAATGGGAACCGGATATCGTGACAAATGTTCTTCCTCCTCATTTCCTGTGCCAGTACTGTGGGATTAAGCAACCAGAATCGAATCTCATTCGACAACATCGTCGGTATTGCCCTAAAAACCCAGACGCATCAAAAAACGAGTTGACACGTCGTGCTCCGCCTAAAACGGCTCTGCAATGGACATGTAATGTGTGCGGGAAAATGTTTAACAATGACAGCTCCTACAGGACACATGTGAGTCGTGGTCATCTCAAGAAGCGTAAGGCTGATTCGTAGAGAGAAGTGAATAAAAAAGTTTTTTCGGCAATATCTTCTTGTTAATTTAACTAAAGCTCGCGTACCCCCAATATCTGGGTGGGATATTGTGCTCGTGATAGGTCGAGCTGTCTTGTATATTTGTAGCGATCGAATTTGAAAGTGGAGGAAGTACTGTGACTGCAGGGTCGTGGTTGGTGGCTACCATAGGCGGTGTTGCTGGATGATTAAGATCGACCCAATTCGTCGACTGCATCCGAGCACAACAATCCCTCGTCATCGCATCCTGTACTGCGCGAACGACCTTCACTGAGGTTGTATTGAGCCTGAACGGAGTCACTGGAAGACGCGGAAAAAGTGGTCTCGGCAGGGATCGTAGCAGATAAACTTAAAGTCACAGCTAGAGAATTCACGTTGTCTGTCATCTTAGATGCCTCTGAACTGCTGGAGAGCTTGTATTGGATTGCGTAAGGGTGTTTTATTGAGTGCTGGAATGTGTTTTGGAAAGTGATGAGGACATGATAGTTTAGAAGGATCGTCCTCCATGTAGATATCTTTTCCTTACGTTCTTACCCACCGGTAAGGACAAGAAGTTTTAAATATTGGGACGGACACGCCTCTGTGGGACGGACACGGCCAAATTAGTATTAGATTTTGTATACTGAAATATGGCAACGGACACGGCGCTTAGAGACGGACACGGCTTGTAATAACTCGATTTTATTATATGAAAAACTGCTGCTACAAAAGATTTTTTTTTGTGTCGTCTCTGCGCACAGTCTGTCCCATGGCCCTCCCCTCCTTACGTTCACCCCATTTTTATAGGGAAATTGTGTAAAAATAGTAATGTCTGCCGCGCGTCGTAAATCATAAAACGTACGTGAATTAATTGAGCAGCTCATCGCAGACTGCTTTCAATTTTGTCGTGCTCATCGCCAACAGCACCAGTTGTACTGTCTACAAGGCTAAGGCTAGCTACTGTACCATGAGCAGCGGCCACCTCGAGGGTCTGTAGGTGCAGCAAGACAGCAGAAATAGGAATTCCCTCTCCCCTCAAATCATTGATCGAGACAACGAATTCTTGTTCAGCTTCTACTGGGAGAGATATACCTATGCCGCTCGGCCGAGCCTTCTTTTTGGCACGCCCGCGAGTCGTTTGGCAAGCCAACTCGATGTCGTTGCGCTTTTGCCGCCACTGATAGATAAGCTTTCGCAGCTGTTCGTGCGCCTTCTCATCTAGGCCGCTATAAAATGCTTTTATAACGGCAGAGATATCACCACACTGCTCCCATGCACCCAGGACCGCCTGTTTTTCCGCTGCTGTGATGGCGGTGCGCCTGCGTGATGGTTGCATCCCGTGGATTGGGAAATGTCAGGTGCCTAGCCCATTTTTGTGTTGTCGGTAACAAGTGGAGGATTTCGATAAAGTGATTCGATTGGCTATAATTGAGTGTCAGTAATAAGTGATCGTCAGTTATCAGTGATCGTCAGTAAAAAGCGGAGGAAGCCGGTACCATCTTTAACTTGCTCAGGCAGTCCATAGTAAACCGAGAAGCGTTGAAGATGTCTACTTCCAGAGGGTACTCTTGCAATTGGATCTCTTGTTTGGATATACTATGTCAAGTTGTCATAACTAATTTGACTTGTGGTGTCATGTTCAGTGACGGGAAACCAGAAACAGAGACTTCGAGGCTGTCAACGCCGATAAAGCTCAAGTGTTCTTTAGTAAGTGTGCCAGTCTTGTCTAAATAGTAGGAGGCGCATGAGCTCACTCGACGTGAGTCGATACAGAAGATCCCATCATTCTGCAGTCTCTGCTTAGCAAAGCCAATTCCTGATGAGAGAATTAGTGGCAACGCGGGTGATACAGCTATGGTTATAAGATCCAGGGAGTGTATTGATGAGCGGTGTATCCGTACCGTATCAGGTCCGTCGACAGCTCGCTTCATAAAAGCGGCAATTGCAATCGTCCACAGAACGATGAGATACCGATTACTATCACGCTCAGACTCGACACCGGCTTGAGAAGAGGATGTACTATAATACGGAAGAGCTCGCCTCGACCAGTGGAAAACCCCGTGCTAAGCACCACTCCTCGACACTTGCCACCACCTTCTCGCACTCGGATAACCGTTGATCCAGCATGCAGACCCGATGCTTTGTATTGAGAGTCTCAAGACAAAGTCTCAATTTGAGACCCCCACTGCCAGTTCCTTGTTCACTGGAACTGCCTCATCTGCGAGTGATGCGTCGTCGGCTACACGCAAGCCAGAAAGCAGCAAGATGTCCGCACAAACAGGACCTACAATATCACTCGTACCAGCTCAACCAAAAAGGATACTACAGTCGCTTCGAACAAGGCTTCGTAGCCTGGTGCTTTTCTACACATCAATGTAAATTTCATACGAAATGGACGTCACGGAGAGAAGGACGATGATGATCTCGTACAATACGGTATGTACTCCACAATATTTAATGTACCGATCCCATTACCTAAAAAATGTTGAATGGAGCAATGAGCTTGTGGAACAGCGGAATCGGAGTTTTCGGCTTGTCAATACACACACGGTTCTCACCAAACCGATGAGTTCTTGCACTAACATTGACAGTGTTGAGGCCACTTTCGACACGACTTGTAACTGCATTGAGATCTTCTCGGATTGTTGCAAGATATCAGCGGCCTCAACGCTGTAGATGTACCGGTGCTTCTTAAACACAAACCAAATTCCTTAAGTTTTTACTAAGATCGTGTTTGCTGCTACCAGTAGGACGATGTACGGGGCATTCGATCCATTGGGCACGCAGTCCCCCTCCGTACACAAGAATGAACACGAAATCGGCATCTCCAGTTAATGAGAGTGGAAGCTGCGTAGGTGAAAAATCTGTGGTACCAAACCGAAAACACGAAAATTAATCCGCCAGAAGTTACTCCAAGAATCGAGTATACCGGGTACTTGGGGGTATACTATACCCCCAAGTACAGGTGCGAAAACCTGAAAGGTATCACACGCAGCGGTTCATTCGGAGTAAAAACCAATTGGAACTTTAGGTGGTCTTGTAAGGTCTTCATAGCGACGACAGGATGCGCGTTAGATGTGATTTACTGAGCAAGGTGAACAAGACTCGCGGTGAAGGTTCACTGAGGGGAGTGAACGTGCTTGACGCGAGTCTGTCTCACATAAGACCAACCACGACCATAACGGCCTTAGGGTTCTTAAAAGCGAAAAGCTGAAGTGACCGATAGATGATACCATTTAAGTGCTCAGTCCGCATCAATAGAATCGCCAGCAATACTCTTGTTGAACAATACGTGTACGCAGGGGTCCATTAGAACCGATGGTATGACCATAAGGTCATAGTTTATGGCCATTTAAAATGGAACCGTGGTCGATGTCCACAGTCTGTCAATGCAAAACACAAGTGTAGAAAACAGGATTACTTTTGAATTCATTTGAAGCAAGAATTTCTGTCATCAATGTTTTTGATACCCGTAAGCGATTTATATCCGCTATTTCGAGCATTGAATTGTTATTGGAAGATAGCTGGTGTGTTCAATGGCTTTGGTACACGTGCCAGCGTGCCCAGCATTGCATTA